CTTTTTATTGTTGAGGGTTTAGATAGAAGCACGTTTATAGATTTAGTTTCTTCTTGTGATATACAAAGAACCATCAAGGTAAGCAACTGCTGCTGCTGCTGCTGCTGCTGCTGCTGCTGCTGCTGCTGCTGCTGGTGGTTGTGGTGCTGCTGCTGCGGTTGGTGGTTGTGGTGCTGCTGCTGCTGCTGCTGGTGCTGCTGGTGCTGGTGCTGATGCTGCTGCTGCTGGTGATAGTGGTGGTGGTGGTGGTGGTGCTGCTGCTGCTGCTGGTGCTGCTGCTGCTGGTGCTGCTGCTGCTGGTGCTGCTGCTTCTGCTGCTGGTGCTGTTGTTGCTGCTGGTGCTGTTGCTGCTGCTGGTGGTGATTGTGGTGATGGTGGTTGTGTTGCTGCTGCTGCTGCTGCTGCTGCTGCTGCTGCAGTTGCCATTGTTGCTGTTATTGCTGCTGCTGCTGCAATTGTTACAATTGTTGCTGTTGCTGCTGCTGTGTGTCTGGTGAACAAACCCCAACCCAAATATCTTTATTTTCTAGGGTTTAGGGTTTAGGGTTTAGGGTTTAGGGTTTAGGGTTTGTGTTCAGGTGGGAGAGGCGTGTGTGTCTCTGCTGCTGGATTCCAAGGGTTTAGTGATTGACGAGGGTTTTATAATAAAAAAAAAAAAAGAAATAGAGGTTTGGGGGTCTGGGCATTCAGCCCCCCAGGTGTTTGAGTATCTAACTGAACTCGCCAACTACTGCACGTAAACCCTAAACCCTAAACCCTAAACCCTAAACCCTGAAAAAAAGGGGGTTTCAAGTTGGTTTTTTTTTTTTTTAAAAAAAAAAAAAAACACAAACCCTAAACCCTAAACCCTAAACCCTAGATTACACACCCTCAGTGCTCGACACAATGCACTGCGTCTTTCTAGGGTTTAGGGTTTAGGGTTTAGGGTTTAGGGTTTGTGGTTTGTAGGAAGAGCGGGCTCAGGGTAACCCTAAACCCTTCCCCCAAAAGCTGCGTTCTGGCTCTGCAAGGGCCCCAGGCAATGCGGCGGTTTGTGCAGCAAGCAGCAGCACAGCTCAAGCGACAGTAACCCTAAACCCTAAACCCTAAACCCTAGACCCCAAACCCTAAACCCTAAACCCTAAACCCTAGACCCTAAACCCTAGACCCTAAACCCTAGACCCTGAAAGTTTGAGTGGCTGGAGGGTTATATTGCAGATTCTACGGTCGTTTTAACACAAACCCTAAACCCTAAACCCTAAACCCTTTTTATACAGATATCTTTATCTTTAAGGGTTGAGGGTTTAGGGTTTAGGGTTTAGGGTTTTGTTACACAGAGAGTATGAAGAATATCCTGGTGGTTTTGCTATTGCCCTGAAAGATGTTTGGGGGTTTTCTTTGTCTCCTTCTGCTGTCTCTTCTCTCTCTTTTATGGCGGCTTGGGACCTTACTATCAAACTGTAAACCCTAAACCCTAAACCCTAAACCCTAAACCCTAAACCCTAAACAGGTTGTGTACAGTCGAAAGCGTATATTTCTATACCCGAAAATTCATGCGCAAACCCTAAACCCTAAACCCTAAAGAGACTTTCCTAATAGGCTTCAAGGGACGGGAGAGGGTTTAGGGTTTGCAGTCTAGGGTTTAGGGTTTAGGGTTTAGGGTTTAGGGCTATAAAATGAGCGGTTTGTTTCTCTGCAGTCCCAGCAGCAGCACCGACAGCAGCAGCAGCAGCACCACCACCCCCAACAGCAGCAGCAGCAGCACCACCACCCCCAACAGCAGCAGCAGCAGCAGCAGCAGCAGCAGCAGCAGCAGCAGCAGCAGCAGCAGCAGCAGCGGGGGGTTTAAGGAGTATAATATTACTTGTGTTAGGGGGGGGGGACGGGAGAAGATGGAATTGAGTTTGCTGCAGAAGAGGCAGCAGCAGAAACCCTCGTCAGGTCAAAAACCCTAAACCCTAAACCCTAAACCCTAAACCCTAAACCCTAGAGTTGAGTTGTTTTTGTTTTTGTTTCTGGTTGTTTCTTTGTTTCTCCTGTTTGTTTTTCCTTTTTTGTTTGTTTTTCTTTTTTCTTTTTTTTTAGTTTTTTTTACTTGTTCTTATTTGTTTTTGTTATATTTTTTTAATTTATTTTTTTTTTATTTATTTATATTTCAGGCTCCTTCGTGATGACTCTCTTCTTCTCCCCCCTTCATCAGCCTCTCAAACAACAAACCCTCAACAGACACCCCACTGGGGGCCCCCCCCTGAGGGGCCCCCCGGGGCCCCCCCTGGGGGCCCCCCTGGGGGCCCCCTTGGGGGGCCCCTTGGGGGCCCCGGTGGGGGGCCCCCTGGGGGCCCCCCTGGGAGCCTCGCTGGGGCCCCCTCTGGGGGGCCCCCTGAAAACCTTTCTGGGGGCCCCCTTGGGGGCCCCCCTGGGGCCCCCTATGAAAGCTGCTCTGGGGGCCCCCCCGTGAACCCTTGTGATGTGTTGTGTGGTGATGGGTGGTTATTTGGTGGGGTTGGTGGGTATGTATGTTCTCCTTATTTGGGGTGTATGTACAGCTTGCATATGCTGCGGGTAGAGGCTGGGTTGCCTTGGTTTGGTGCCGATATAAATGAGCAGCATGGGGCTGTGCATGCAGGTTTGTCTAGGTTAATAAGTTTATATAAAATAAAAAATAAATTAATGATAGGGAGCCACGAAATATATAAACAAATTACACATACACCCCGCATAAAGAGAGTAGCCTTCATTGTGGGGGGACAATACAGAATAAATAGAGCCCTCAATAAACAAAAACAAATGCAAAAACTGCTGCAGCAGCAGCTGCAGCAGCAGCAGCAGGAGCAGCAGCAGCAGCAGCAGCAGCAGCAGCAGGAGGAGGGGGAGGTGGAGTTTAGTGGTTTAGGTAGTGTATATATACCTTGTGGTGTATCTTCACTGTCTCCTTCTGTCTCTTCTTCTGTCTCTGTTTCTTTTTTTGATTTATTTAAATTTCCTTTTTCTTTTTCTGTTGTTTTATCGAGAGGAGACAGAAGGCCCGTGGGGGTGGTTACCTCTGTCTCCTTTAGCCCCCTGCTGCAGTGTAGGATAGGCCAGGCTCTCGTTCTCTATGAATTCGCTAAACATAAAGAGGTTAGGGTTTAGGGTTTAGGGTTTACGGGTTAGGGGGGTTAGGGTTGAGGGGTTAGGGGTTAGGGGTTAGGGTTTAGGGGGTAGTGGTTAGGGGTTAGGGTTTAGGGGGGTTAGGGTTGAGGGTTATTGTTTAGGGGGGTAGGGTTTAGGGTTAGGGTTTAAGGGGTTTAGGGTTTTGGGGTTCAGGGGGA